CCTGAGAGATATTTCAGCCAGGACATAGTAGATGAAAAAAATAATAATAATACCTTTACAAACTGAATGGATGTCCTAGCAAATAGATGAATGCAGCCCCTCACCTTGGGCAAGGTTATTAGGTCTTTGCAGCAGTTTTTGTCTGGGAAAAGGATTAGGGTGTGTGCTCCTTAGTCTGGTTGGAGCCAGTCAAAAGATTTCAGGCTGCTTATTTGTGACCTTGCTGGGGCTCAGAGTTTGTACCTGAAAATAAGAGTCTGATATCTGAGCTCCCTGAGCCTGAAAAATAGGGGTTCCCTGTCCAGCTCTAAATAGGAAAATCCTGTATCAACTTTATAGCTCATAAAATGTCTCTCATTTGTAAAATGTAATCATTTAGTTGTTTAAATTATTAGAGAAACTGAGTCTTTGTCAAAGGATAAAATTCTTGCTTTTTAAACCTTCTAATTATCAGTTTGGCTGAGTGAATAGGTGACTTCATAGTGAATTGAGATTCTGTTGTGAAGAATTTTAAGAGTAAAAAAAATTTTTTAAAAATGGCATGATGTAAAGAAAGAATCTTGTATGATAAATTTTGTCCTGAAACAGAATGGCTATATAAAAAAGTAAAAGGCAGAACAAAAAATAAAGAAAGTTTAGAATGCTTATAGATTGTCTGTGCAGGTTAAATGAAAAAAAAAATTGTAAAAAAATATACATGTGATCCAATTGACTATGCATTTCCCTTAAAATCTTTTGACATGTAATCTTATTTTAACCAATGTTATAGGCCTTTTAATATTTGACAAACCTTCCAGAATCAAAAGTCTAAATTTGGGCTTGGCACCCATAGTGCAGTGGTTGCAGTGCCGGACACATGCACCGAGGTTAGCAGGTTTGAATTTGGTCCAGAAAACAAAAAGTTCAACTCTAAATTTGATCTTTTTGAAATATTAAGATCACAAAGAGGCATAGAAAAACAAACTAAACTTAATTTATTAAAAATGTATAAAAAACATTGTCAAATATAAAATGATGATTAATTTTGTATAATAGTTATATATATATATATATATATTCCAATATTATAAAGCATTGGTTTGCCCTAACATATATTATCAGTAATAAGTTTAATTCATCTAAAAAAAAATGTTTTTTATGTAACTGGCTGAGGCCAAAGTTTATCCTAAAAAAAAAAAGAAAGGGAAATACAAATTCTCTCGAATTCAAATTCCTGATGTACATGAAACTAGGCTAGTTTATTATGGCCTTTTATTTGAAGTATTATTGGTTCCTTCTATATTCTGTTTTCCAGAAGTCAAGAAAATAATTCTCTGCCTTTTAAGCTATTTGTAGCTTTTCAAGCAATGTATGTACTTATGAGCAGAATTTAAAACATGTATTTTTCTCTCTCCTTAATTTCTATGAAATTTATAAGTTTTATTAATTTCTGACAATGCAGTTATTTGCACAAATTCAATAAGAATCTGCTTTGTTCTATAAGACATAATGAAGGCACTAGTATTTTAACAAGGCTTTGGCTGGAATAGCATTTCCAGAGGTATCCAGACTACATTAAGGAATTAAAGTTGACTTTATAAGGCAAATAATGAAAGCCCTTTGGAAAACTAGCCAGATACCCATCAGTAACTTTTCCTGATCTGTAATAAGTAACGAAGGTTGCTTGCTGTTGAGTCTGAAAAATTAAAAGGTGCTTTGGGAAGCTCAAAAGAAGAGGAATGTACCCAATGCATATAGGTATCTTATGGCACAGATGAAACCTGGGCTCATAAAAGACTCCTGAGAAAGTGTGGCCTGAACTTTCCTTATAAAAGTTTCCAGCAAAACCAAAGAGTCTAGATGACTAATAATTCTTACTGTGCATTATGCAAATAATCAGTATACTGAAGGTACAGGTTATTTTGGCAACTGAGTTGATTCTACTGTAATTTATCTTTAATAAAGAGAAAAATTGGAGAGAGAGAAAAATAATTCAAAAAAAAAAAAAAAAAGGCTGTGGCTCACCTGTATTAGATCCCAGCCTTGTCTGTACTGTCAGCTCATAAAGGGAGTCATAACTGTTTTAGTAAATTGAACTGTTAAATAAGACTAAGAGACTGGCCAAAGAGTGTGATGTGAATGTGCATCTCGGAAGAGAGACCTGGGGTAAAAATGAGTAACAAACAAAGGAAGCCCACCCCATAGCTACTATGTTGAAGCACTTTAAGAAGAAATTTGTAGGTGACTATGAAAGCTAATAAGTCCTTATGAGCAGGAGTGGCTCCTCTTTAGAAATGGATAGCTGTCAGAGAAAAGTTTAAAAAGATCCCTAATGTCTGAAGCATGGCACAAAGTTACTGGAAAGGGGGTTCACACTGAGCAGTTTCCGTATAAGATACCTGGCTACAGCTAGTAATGAACCAACCACCTTGGTTGAAAAGGCAGGTCACGACAGTGCTAGTAATACAGGGACAGGAAGGAAAAGTGCTTTCCACCTGACCTAGAGTAGTGGTGCTGAAGATATTGACAGATCTGGTACCGAGAGACATTGCTGCAGAGACATAGAAGCCTTTTGTCTCCTTCAGAAGTGTTCCATAAGAGGCCACAAAAAAATATACAGCTACAACTGCCCAAACCAGATCTGGTGTCTGCCTTGGAAATGGAGGCCGTTTATGACTCAGCCAGAGGAAGGACTGGGCCCAAACTGGCCCAGTGATGGCCGCGGGTCTAAGTGAAAAATAACCCCCCAGGGCTGTGCTCAAGGTACAGCCTTGAGCCTATTTATAGCCTATTGCGCTATAAAGTTTCTAAGACCAGCAGTAAGTACCTTACCACAGTTTGAGCTCCCACCAAGGACTGGGTCAGACAACGGGCCAGCATTCATCTCCGAATTGATCCAGAAGATGACTAACATCCTGGCATCACTTGGAAACTCCATGCAGCCTACCACCCACAAGGCTCGAGAAAGGTGGAATACATGAATAGAGCTATCAAAGCAAGTTTAGGAAAAGTATGCCCGGAGACAAACTTACAGTAAGTAAGTGCCCTGCCCTTCATGTTATTTAAGATTAAATGTACTCCTACTAAGAGGACAGAATTCTCACAGTGTAAGATCTTATATCATAGGCCAGCCCCCTTACTACAGAGCTTGCCAGGATCCCCCTCAAAAATTGGAAGAAATAGAATTAAGGAAGCAGTTACAGGCACTAAAAAAGGTAACAGAGGCAATATCGGAACCAGTAAATAAAAGGTGTCCTGTTAGTTTGTTCTCCCTTGTCCACCTTTTCTCTCCAGGAGCTGCAGTGTAGGTCAAAGATTGGAGCCTGTCTCCCCTGAGGGCAAGATGAAAAGGCCCTTACAATGTTATCCTGACCACACCTACAGCTGTGAGAGTAGCAAAAATTCCTGCTTAGATCCATTACAGCAGAGTGAAGCCTGCCATGGAACCAGAGGAGAACCTGTCCCCGCCTAAGAGAAACCAGACTGAGCAGTATGTGAACAATGACAGCTGATCCTGAGTTCCCATGGCGTGGGCTCCACATCTCAATGACTCCTGAACCTTGGGAAGCTAACTCGGATCCTGACAACCCCCTCAAGCTTATGTTGCAGAGAACGGCAAGCCTTGCTCCAGTAACACCCCGGGAGCTGACTAGTCCACACACAGCCAAAGCATGAGAATCTACGTTATCGTAGAACTGTTCTTTATTGGACTCAAGAGAGCTAAGTAAACTTTAGTTTGTGTAAATATTCAGGATGCTAATGTAAAAAATTGTACAAAACAGATTAGCTTTAAATTATACATCCCCCTGGTTAACTTCACTACTGTTCGCCATCACCGGCCCTCTTTTGATCCTATTACTACTTCTCATCCTTGGCCTCTGTATTATAAACTGCCTAATAGCTTTCATGCAGGCTAAGATCGACACTATCCAGATAATGGTTCTCCCACTCTCAGTACCATAGAAGGAGACTACCACAATGAGGACTCATGATTGAACCTCAAATGCACCTAGGAAAGGGGGGAATGTGAAGGCCGAGCCAAAGCCATTTTAATGACGGACACCACCACCATCTTAGGCCCAATGAGTCAGCATAACGTCCCCCACCCATCCGAAAGATAACACCACCCCATGGCACGGAAACCTATGACCCATCACGAGCTAATGCCTGACCTGTAATCTGCCCATGCCCATAGCAACCAATCAAAATCGTACCTGTACTTTACCCCTCCCCTTGTTTTCTGTACCCTATAAAAACTGATTGCACCTCCAGGGCGGGGCTCTTCCTCGGTGTGCTCACCAGGAGAGTCCAGACCCTGGCTTGAATAAAGCTTGCCTCTTGATCTTTGCATCAGAATGTGTCTCAGACTAACTCTGGGGGGATGGAGAAAAATCCAGGCACAACAGTGGAGGGGGACTGTGAGATGGCAGGGCCCTCGCAGCATGGGGAACACTTAGAGAATCCTTCCAATTCCTTCTCCTCCATTCCCAAAACAGCCATTTTCCTTTCTTCATGCTCCCTCTGCCAGAAGTCACATAGCTCTTTTTTTGTCCAGTTAACAATTCAGAAAACCTTGTGATCTTTGCCTTCCTCTTTCTTATAATATGTTAATGAAATTGAATAGAAACTACTAAGTCACATAGTTCTTCCTTTGTTTTGTCAACTATGCTGAGATCCTCATGGTGATCTTGCCCTTCTTACTTCTGGTCATATGTTAATGAAGTTGAGTAGAAACCATTAGCAAGATGATTTGTCTTTATGAAAGTCTTTTATGTTTTCCAATTGTACTATAAGGCCAAAATTATGTCTTTTGCTTATGCTATTTCCCCATACTGTCTATGCTGCTTCCCCCTGGACAACCCTGTACAGATACTATGAAATAAAGCTGATTTTGTGCTTTGGGGCTGGCTATAGCCATCAGCTCAGTCAGACCTCCTGATACCATCTTACATTTCTGTGTCTTCTCTTATTGCTGTATTTTCCTCATTCCCCACCAATTCCACTCTGGTTTGCTCCCCTTCATCGTGATAGTTCATGACAATAAACATGCATGGTATCCTTGCACAGTTGCCATGCTAATCTTTTCTATATTGTTCCAATTATAGTACATTTATTGCCATTCAGCAGGCTTAGGAAGCTCTATTTCATGTTTCTTAGTTTTTATCATGAATGTGGTATTTTTTAAATGCTTACTAATTGTTTTAAGTTTTTAATTATTATAGATACATAATAGTACATATTTATTGGATACATGTGATACTTAGTTACAAGTATACAATGCATGATAATCAAATCAGATTAATTGGGATATGCATAATCTCCAGCATTTATCATTTATTTGTGTTAAGGAACATTCTAATTCTAAACATGTAAAAATTTATTGTTAATTATAATTTCTCTATTGTCCTACCAAATACTAGAATTTATGAGTTCTGTTAAGCTGTATTCGTATAGTCTTACACATCTTATCTTTTATTATATCCATTAAAATGATAATTTTGTTCTCCGTTTGTCTATTACTAACATATTATACATTAATTGATTCTTCGATGATGAGCCCAATTTTGTATTCCACAGGTAAATTTCACTTACACATAGTGTTCAATACTTTTTATGATATTATATTTCATTTGCTAGTATTTTTGAGAATATTTTCACTTATATTCATAGGGTATGTTTTTCTGAAATTTTTCTTTTTTGGCATGTATTTTTCTGGCTTTGGTATTAGGGTGATACTGACCTTATCAGAAAGAGTTTAAAGATATTTCACATTCTTCTGTGTTCTGGAATAATTGGTGAAGAATTGGTACTATTTGTTGACATAAATCTTAGTATTCCTTTACCATATTTTGATTTCTGAGAGTCAGTAATGTTTTTTCTTTCATGCATATAATTCATGATTGTGCATTATCTATTTTATCTGTGGACAATCATGAAGCCAAAAGTATTCTATTTTTCTTAGAACAAAATTACCAAATTAATCCATGCATTTCTTTTTCAGGTTCATTATTACCTAGTGTGCAATTGTAATAATTACGATAATTAACTATTAATCTAGCCAAGTCTTTCCACTTTGTGGCTCTTTTTAAAGAAACAATTTTTCATTTTATTAATTTTTCTATAAACTTTTTTATTTACTATTTTACTAATTTCCATTTTAACTTCATTATTTAATTCTTTCTTGACTTCAGTTTGCTTTGTTCTTTGTTTTTTGTTAATGATAGTTGAATACATGTTATGGCTGTGGCCAGGTCAGTCTTGCAAATAGGAAGCTCCTGTTACTAAAACAGGTTATAATTTCAATTCTTGTGACTTATTGAGAAAAGATTTTATTTCTCTATTATTTCTCAAATACATTTGGGTTCTGGATAATGAAGATGAATTAGAAAAAAATTACATTCTCAAAGTATGTCATTTTGCACACCTAATTATTAAGCCAAGTCTCTCTTAACAGGCAGTGACATTTGAAGGACAATCAAAAATGCCAAAAATATTTCCTTTTTTGTAGACCAAACTTACCATATTCATTCATGAATTACTTTTTTCAGGTCCATTATTAGCTAGTGTGTAATTGTGATAATTATGATAACACTAGCTATTAAAATAGGGTGCCAGTCCCATAAATCGAGGGTGGTGGGTTTAAACCTGACCCCAGTCAGCTAAAACAGCAATGAGAATTGCAACAAAAAATAGCTGGTCATTGTGGCGGGTGCCTCTAGTCCCAGGTACTTGGAAGCTGAGGCAAGAGAATCACTTAAGCCCAAGAGTTGGAGGTTTCTGTGAGCTATGACACCACAGCATTATTCCAAGGGTGACAAAATGAGACACTGTCTTAAAAAAAAAAAAAAAAGAAAGAAAGAAAAATTAAGATATTACCATGAAAGTTTGTGAAGAAAAATTTTTACTTCTCAAAACTATGTTACATACAAATTCTACATGGAAGTAGAAGCAGAATGAAAGCAAGTGGCTATTGGCAAACATTAAGCAAATAAAGAAAATGTGGGGTATTTGGGAGGCAGAGGGGAGGTGAAAGGCAGAGCTGCCCTAGACCAGCCTAGAGTTGTTAAGTTTAAATATTGATTGGAGGCCTATACTTTTCATGGGGACATTTTGTTTAAAACACCAGCCCAGACTTCTCCGTCACTTTCTCTGCTGTATTTACCAAATCTAATTAATATTTTAAAAGCTAATATTACCACAATGTAAAGCAGGGATGCTTCCAGTTGACTAAAACAATTTTTCCAATTAAAAAATTTTCCACTAAATGTGCTCTGGGTTTTACTGATTCTATCATAAAACAGATTCAAGTCATTTATTACCTAATCTTTACATGAGCTTCAATAGATTATATTGGCTTTTAAGGTCCTCATGATTAATAAGCATTCATACATGGAATCCAGAATTTCTGGTAAGCTCAGGAATTGTTTACTTCATTTTAAATTAAATTTGGTTAAGATTAGCTTTTTCCTTTCTTTACCCAGTGAGTTTAAATACATGTATACAATATATTCTATAGTTATTTAGGTTTATACATCCTTCCTGCTTTTGAATATGTATTTTTTCTCCTTTTGGATTCCACTTTGCAATTATTTATTTGGAATGCAGTGAGCTTTGATTTTTATGGGATTGGAGACAAAGCAATATGATAAGGATAATGCAAGAAAATCACTTATTTTTCTTTTCAAGATAATGCTCTCACATGAAACGACAATAGAGCTTTCATGCAAAGCAAGGAAACATTTCAACAAGTAGTCCAAAGATAGGATGCTTTTCTGGAAAAGAAAGCTTTTGAGAACTATGGATTTGATATGATTGTAGATGACTGCCTTTATATATTCCCACTTGAATTCTCCAGTTGCTACTCCTTCCAGAACAATGACCAAATTTTCACTTAAAAGAGAAATCTCCCTGATGAAGACCTGCAGTACTCAAACTATCTATTCAAAATTTGGATTCAAGTGATCAGGATATATAGATAGAAAATATTTGATCATACTCTAGATTGTTTCTATGCTGTGCCTCAAGTCAAAAAAACATAGGCATTTAATCTATCATTCTATTTATTTAGTTAGTGATATTAGAAGCATTATTTGCCTTCTCACAATTTTGGAATGACACATGTCATTTATACTAGTCTAGAATATAGACTTTTGTCCTTAAAAATGTAATATTTAGGGGATTTTCATTTCAGTAGTTCAGAGATAATAATTTAATTTATAATTTCTTTCTGATTTTCATTGCTTGCTAGTTTTTATTTTTTGTAATTTTAGTTTTTACTTCATTCATATCTACATAAGCCACATGGCCAATACTAGATTTTTTTTTATTTCTCTGAGACTCTGTTGGCTTTAAATTCCAAATTTAGAGTTCTTTTTTATAAAAAATTGATGCTGTCAATTAAACTCTACCATAGATTTATTTACTGAATCCAAAAGAAAGACAGATGAACCATAGGGGTGATCCCACCAATCACCCTCCCTCCACCCAGACCTGAAGGCTATGTTAACCAGTTTGATGAAAATATTTCAAATTGTATATAAAAACAGCACACTGTACCCTGTGACAATATTCATGTAAAAAAAAAAAAAGAAAAGGAAGACAGGCAAAATTATTTTGAGTAAAAATTCTCCGCATGAGAATGGCGAACTTGAGATGCCGCTTCTGGTAAAATCAAGGACAAACTTGCCATCGTGCCATCTCACACTTGCTCCTTTATACATTTTAGAACTTAATTTTACACCTTTACTTCCTACTGACTCAAATACTGTCATTATGTAGAATCATTTAAGTTTGAATTTCCCTTTAAATCTCATAATCTTGATACTATATCTACTACAGTACTATAGAGTTCAGGTCCTCCTTCTTATCTATCTTGGCCTTCTGGATACTGCCCAGGAGGAATATGATAAATGTATAATACATGAATGTGTATCACAGCTTACACTTGTCAATTCATATCATTTTCTGTATCAGTGTGAGATCAAGGATGTCTTACAGTGTCCCCATGGCCTTGATCTTACGGGCACTATGTGGAGTAAATAAGCTTCTCTGGAATTTATCCTCCTTCTCCAACCATCAAGTGGGAATAAATGTCAATGATATTCTACCTTCAGAAGTTAATATTAACTGTCTTTTATGATATCCTCATTTCAAGTACAGGATATAATCCAGGAATAATACTTCATATGTCCCCAAGTTAACTTTCTCTCTGCAGATTAGCTAATCATCTTGAAACTTATGAAACTTGTTTTAGGGATGCTATATTCAGCAAATATATGTTCCTAAAGTCTGAAGAATTAGACTATTTAATCATTTTTACCCAACCAATACTTTCTCAGTGACCATGATCTAGCTGTTTCCAAATTCATTTTATTGCCATTAGGAATGCACAAAGAGAAAGAGTCGTGATTAGAGCTTAAGATGACTCATACCTGGAGGAGGAAGAGAAAGCTGTCACCAATCCTTCCTAATGGAGTAGTTTCATGTTTCGGAATAAATAATGTAGTTTTCATGTTTCACAGTGAATAATCACGTTATACGTCCTGAATGCTGTCAAATGAGTCTTTTATAAAGATAAGTAAGGCTCATTGTGAAGGTCTTTTAAAAATGATTAGTCTAATTAGATTATTCTGAGTATCTCATTTTGAATACTAGCTGAATAAGTGAGCTAAATATTTTTTAAATGGCCTAAACTTTTAATGGTATGATTTTAAATCTACTATAATAATCAGAGGAGAAACATGTATTTATGAACATGTATTATTGTTTGTTACATGCTTTATCTATTTAATCATCTCTTTCATCTTAACTTTAGTAAGGATTACTGTACATAAAAAGGTTAAGTATTAAATGTAACCTGTATTTATATTATTAATATGGCAGAATTTTTCTATTTTAACAATCTAGCTGGAATGTTTTCAATTTCTCTTTGACTGGTGTTACTTATCATGCCAACTGAATAACCCCAAAAGGAAAGTATCTTCATATGAGGTCACTGAAAGTAAATATTCTAAGTTTTTTCTTAATTCCTCCATAGATATCATTCACTACTTTTGTGTAATGGGTTGTGTGTTGTTTTAATATTGAACACTGGAAAAACTAGAAAGAAATAGGGACTGTTATTGCCA